GGATTAGATACAATTCTAACTCCAAAGAGCTGGAGAGAGATTTAAGGTTTAAAAAGAAATAGGTGGTTAATGTACTTATACAATGTTAGTGAAGTTTATATAAACTTAGAGTAAGATTATAATGGAGGCCTGAAATTTCAAATGTGACCCCAAAGCTATAAGCTTTGAAGAATAACATTAAATAATAAATAGTTCACCAAAGTAAAACATAAATAAAATAGAAAGAAATGGACAATTTGGAAAATTTTCACTTACAAGGTAAATGTCAATATTTTCTTAAATTAAACTTACTGTAAATCAGTAAGATTAATTCCCTGACAGAAAATTGAGTAAAAAGCGTAAACTGAGAAACGAAGGAATATGTAAAAATATGAAAAACTCCTCAATATCTATGGAATCAAAGCGATGCAAATTTAAATAGCAATGAGGTATTTTGATTTCTCAGATTGGCAAAGATTAAAATGAATAACAATGCACATTTTGTTGAAGATGTGGGTGTCATTCTGTTCTAGCTACCATAACAAAAATGTCATAAAATGGGTGACTTATAAACAACAAATATTTATTTCTCACAGTTCTGGAATCTGGGAAGTTCAAGAGGTTGGCTGCAGCAGATTCAATGTGTGGTGACAGCCTGCTTACTTACTGATGGCCATAGTCTCACCTTGTATAGTGGAAGTGGCTGGAGAGCTCTGTGGGATCTCTTTTCTGAAAGCACTAATTTCATTCCTGAGAGCTTCACCCTCATGATCTAGCACCTCCCAAGATCCCACCTCTGAATACAGCTACACTGGCTTCTAGGTTTCAACACCTGAATTTGGGAGGGGGTGTGTGTGGGAGGGCACAAACATTCAGTCCTTAGCAGTAGAAATTGAGTAATGTCAAGTACTTACTTGTCATATGTTAGAAATGCAAGTATGGAAATACATGTCAATATTTATCTACTTCCCAAAACAAAAAGTGGCAAGGTGTTGGAAAAAGAATACGATTTCCTTAACAAAATTTACGTAAACTTTGGCCCAGCAGTTTATCTTAAGGACATTATCTGACAAGTATGCAAAGATTCATTTTTAAAATGAATTCATTAGGGCACCTGGGTGGCTCAGTCATTAAGCATCTGCCTTCGGCTCAGGTCACGATCCCAGGGTCCTGGGATCAAGCCCCGCATCGGGCTCCCTGCTCCTCAGGAAGCCTGCTTCTCCCTCTCCCACTCCCCCTGCTTGTGTTCCCTCTCTCGTGTGTCTCTCTCTGTCAAATAAATAAATAAAATCTTTAAAAAAAATGAATTCATTAATCACAACCACCATATTCTCTTTCATTTGTGAAATTCTATCAGCCTAGCAGTGTTCTTGGTGCTGGTGTTACCTTGATAAAGATGTATGTATAATAATATCTTTTGCTACATTATTTATGATATTGAAACAATGGAAGCGATCTAAATATTAACACAAGTAACTGATTATAATACATATGGGAATGTTATTCAACCACTAAATAATGATATATGTATGCACTTAATAGAATAGAAAATTGTTTTATTTAATAAAATAAATGTATTTGAATATAAATGATGCAAATAGTGAGATCTCTTATTTTGTTAAAAATGTGCATTTATGGTATATGTGTAGAAAGTTACTTTCCATATTTTTTCTCATTTTCTTTATGAAATAATGACCAAGATTTCCTTACACAATTAAGAGAAAACTTTCCAAATAATGTAAAATTCAACTCTTGACTCACAGCATACTTGAATGTCTTATATTAGAATGGCTTTCAGAATGACCCGTAATTTTTGTTTTTAATTAAGGGGCTCAGGTTCAGTCTCAAACTAAATTATAATTTTAGCCTGAGGACATTGCATATATATATTTGAAAATCTATACCTCTGATTCTAACATGTACTTCCAAATAAGGAACGCTTAGCAAATGGATGTAGGCAAAAATACTGTTTGTTTACTGCTGTCTACTATCAGGCATTTTGGGAATAAACACAAAAGTTTCATGTGACTCCTGTTCTCAAGGAGTTTACTTCCGAATGGAAGAATGGGGGAGGGCGTAGATAAATTTGCATATATCAGGACAGACACAATACAAGACACAATTATATTTGTAGGAATTTGCTTCCAAGAGGAAATTTTAGAAGGCTTCATGGAAATCATGTGGTAGAGACAATATAATGTTTTAATTGAAGAGGCTGGTATGTGAAAAGCCTAAATGAGGAATAGGGGAAAATAGTGGGGCTAAGCAATTCAGTTTACATGAAGCATAGGACTCATGAACGTGAAAGCTGAGATCAAAGCTTAGAAAAACTGTCTAGGGTAGAACATGGAAGCCTGGAATATCCAGTTTATTAATTTGAATTTCAGTGTATAGGCCGTGAGGGTTTTATTGACAATTTGGAAGGGAAAATTGATATGAAGTGAGATTGATTTTTTTTAATTATGAAAAGAGAAATTAAATAATTAGAGCAGAAAGAATTAAAGATAGACAAAACACTACTGGTTTTGGCCAGGCTTTTAATATGCAATTCAAGAAGCATTCTGCCTTTATTAGATCTATTAGCATTTAATTCTCCAAAACAGCCCACATCAGGCATCCAAAAATATAATCAACTCCTCTGATCTTTATGATAAAGATAAATGATAATGATAAAAAGCATTCAAATATCTGAATTAACTCTATTGGATTTGAACATTTATATTCACAGGGATTTCAAAATTTTCCTGTGTGTGACATAGAGGAGGATGACAGGAAAATAGGATCACACAATCAGTCTAGAACCAGGGTTATGAGAGAGAACATCAGCTCTGAGGACTTGGAGAAGAGAGAAGCAAGTTTACATTTCAGCATTTAAAAATGATTTTGAATAACATATTCATTAATGGCAGAAATACAGAAAAGTAATAGTTTAAAATAATAGATGTGTGTGTATTTTTGTACAATCTGAGAATAAGCATCTAAACAGAAACAATGAAATATATCATAGGATTTGAGCCAGACTTGATTTAAAAACTGTTGCTTTCTAGCCTTTTTTTATTATTAATAAAATAAAAATAAATAAGTTAATGTAAGTAAGATACTTTGAACGATGCTCAGATTATGGTAATGTTCAGTAAGTGTTCAGTATATATCATTTTATAATAGGGCTCATACAAGCCACATTTGTTTCCAGAATGCTACCTGGAGATATTTTACATGAGCAATATAAAGTGGATAAGAGAATGACAAACACCACAATCTAATCTAAGACACTACACACACACACACACACACACACACACACACACACACACGCACACTAAAAAGGCACAGCAAGTCCTATCAATTTCTACCCACATTTTCCCAGGTAGAGATAGTAATCTGTAACAAGTGCATACATTACAAATTGATGATAAAATTATGTTAATGAACTGCTTTATTTGGAAAAACTATTTCTTTCACTATTTTATAAGTAGGTACCAATCAGAATCTCTGAGCACTGTGTGTTTTCTCTTATCACTGACCTAGAGAAACAGGAATTGATTCTTCTTCTAGTGGCTAAAAATAGAGTTGATTTCCCAAGAGATACAAGTTTCTAAATACAAATAACCACAGAGATCAGTAATGCAAGAAATGACCTAATAAAGTATTGGATATAAAATAAGCAGTAAAAACTATAAACAAAATAATATAACCTCTGACTTGAATAAGGGAAATATCTGTGTCCTAAAGCAGTGCAAAAATAAGTCATGAGAAAGTTGAACTGTATTATGCATGTTTGAAAGATGGATCCAGTAAAACACTGGCCCCTGGATTTTCCAACCTAACCAACCACAGGAGATGCTGTGTAAAATTACAATAATTTCCAAAATAATTTTTTAAAAAGCACTTTGAGACCTGTGGAAGCTGATGCACCATATCTTAAGGTAAGTAATTATTTTACCAAACCAGGTGGAAAATACTGGATTAAACAAAGGTACCACAGGGGTTTTAGCTTAAGGATTTTTTCTTTCCATGAACCCTAGTTATGTTTTTCCTAAAGTTGAAAGTTACATTGAGTTGTATTCAAAGTTTCTACACAAGGGACAAACGTTTTCACTTTTTTGATCAGTCCCTTAGAGCAAATGGGTATTCCTTCAACAGCTATTGAACTGGATTATAAAATGAAACTAATTTTTTAACTACAATCTGGATACCTGAAACTTGCTATCTCTACCCTCCTGCCCCCCACTCCCATTTAAAAAGTTGAAATATTTGGATTCTCTGCATCTCATTACGTTTGGAATCAGGAATCAGGCACATCCTTTGCTTTTCCCTCTCATTTAAATCACTTGAGTGAAATCAAATTTAAGTAGCCACACATGGGATGATTTCTTTTGCAGTCAAATTTCTTGCCGCACTGATGATGAACCTTATTTCACTGGAAATACCTAATAATCCAAAGAAAGGAAGATTTTACAACACAATTCTAATGGTCTAATTCCAGTGCCCAGTGTGTGTGGAGCGGGCTGGGGGTGGGCTTGTGAGGTCAGTTTTTGACAGTACAAAAGCTGAGTATTTTTAATTACTCATACAATTGAACAAAACAGTGACAAAGGAAAAACTAAAGCGGGAGGATGGAAAGTTGAGTTTATGAGGAATGAGACATCTCCCAACCCCAAATCTTCAGGAAAATTTAAGTTTACAAAATGTTCACAGAGATACCATATCTGAAGTAAGAGCTGGAGTGTCCCAAAGCAAGAAAGCTCCAGCTGCCATTCACGTTAGGTAAGACTTTCAATGCTGTGGATACTAAAAAAAATCTTTGGTTTGGTCCCAACCATTTTTAAGGCTCTAAGGAGAGTCAGAGATGAATAAAAATGCTTAATTTTGAATAATAAAATCTGTCATGGAGTCAGCAGAACATACTGGAAAGAAGACTAATCTGTATGTCAATTGTAGTTTCTAACTTTAAGGAATCCTCATTGGCAAATTGTGCAAGGGGAAAAGAGAAAGATTTAGATATTAAGAAAAAGGAAATAAGCTTTGCTCAGTGGCAGTATTGTAGCCAATGAGGTTTATCCGAGGTGCGATTATTGCTAATTGAAAGAAAAAGGAAATAAAAAAATGCATGTGTAGTCAAAATACATATTTTTGCAGTGCAGGACTAAAACAAAATTGAGACAAGGTATTGGTCATCAAGATATTTGGTTTACTTTCTTCTTAAAAAAATAGGGAACATAAGATAAGTGTGTGTGGGGAGGGGATTAGGTTGGGAGGAAGCGGTATGCTGAGAGAGCTTCCTTACAGTGTTTTGTTAGGCTCTGTTAGGAATTAAATGTTTGTTTCTCCCTAAAATTTGTAAGTCAAAACCCTAGCCCCAAATGTGATGATATTAGGGGGTGGGATCTTTGGCAGGTAATTAGAATTGTATTACCTCATGAAAGTGGGGCCCTAGTGAGGGGCACTAATGTCCTTATAAGAGGGAGCTGAGCACTTGCTTCCAGTCTCTTCTTGGTGAGGACTCAACAAGTAGGCTCTCTGGAATCCTGAAGCGAGAAGGCTCTCCCCGCAACTCTGTGGTGCTGGCACCCTAATTTTGGACTTCTCATCCTCCAAAACTGTGAGAAATAAGTTGCTATTGTTTTTAAAGCATTCAGTCTATAGTATTTTTGATATACAAGCCTGAAGGGACTAAGGCTCTGTTGTCCTTTGACTTAGAGGTATCATGGATTAGAAGTGAAAATTGTATTGCCCTGTGTTTTAGTGGAAGCTTTATAGAGCGTCTGCCCTAGCAATGCAAAATTAAGAAGGTTGAGAAAAATTAACAAATTAACAAATTCATTTTCTCTTAGAAATACCGGAGTTGTTGGAATCGCTCTTGTCGTAGGCCTTACCAGGAATTTGGAGCTAGCATCTGTATATGCCAGTACCAGGAGCTCAGCTGAGCTGGGACAGCGAGCGAGCTCAGGGGCCAGGAGTAGGAAATTAAAGCAACAAACAAAAATGAAAGAGGCCTTTGGCCTCTGGAAGGCGAAACTCTGGGGTGGGGACTGAAAGAGTAAGGCTAGGACAGGAAAGCACAGGATACTGAGTCAGAGTGAGGAAAAGGGTCCTCAAAGTTTCCCTCCTCACCCCAAAATAGTAAGTCTTGGCCGAGGCATCTGAAGAGGCCCTGGGCCAAAGACCTCAAAGAGACCTAGCAAGGAAAGGACCTGAGCTAAGAATATAAACATGGAAGGATCATGACCAGCCAGGGGGGCCTGAGACCCTGGCTGCCCCTGCCCTCCCTCAGAGACTGCAGAGCACTGGCTGTGCAAGAGGTCAGTGTGGGGAGGGCAGCTTTCCTGCAAAGTCGTGCCTGACAAAGCCTTTGTAACTGCCTATTACAGCAGGTCTGTAAAACAAGATGGAGGTTTTTAACCAGGAGCTGAACTCAACCAGTTTTTTTCATTTGAAAAATAAGGAGATTAATTGCAGTTGCTTTTACCTATTTCATAAGAGTATTGAAAAATTTCCGAGAGATACTGCAGGTTCAACTGTAAGATCAAATGATGAGTAAATAGTTTTTGAAAAGACATTCTTACAATGAAAGAGTCCACAAGAAAATGAAAAACTAGTAAAAATACTTTTGGTTTCATAATGATTTATTATTTTAGAAGAATGAGTCCCCAAGAAAATCAGATTACAGTTATGTTAGTCAAACCAATCCTGATGTATTGAGTGCTATAAAAATGAAAAAGATAATCAACAAAATAGAAAGCAACACACTAGAACTATTTTTAACTTTTCAGTAACCACCCCAAAACCAGAGAAACATTTACGTGTTGGAGTAGTCTTCATTGAGACTGTGACTGTAAGATGAATTTATTTTTCCAAGTATGTAGAATTTGAAGGGAAGTCTATAGGATTGAAAACAGTATGACCAGCTTTCAGCAAAACACAACAAATCATAATTGCCAGTTTCATTCCTGTATTCCTGGAAAGCTTAAAAAAATAGATGAAAGCACAAGGTAAAAAGAAAATCTAAACATAGTGTGTATATAGGTTTATGTATATAATTTATAGATCTTCTAATACATAATGGAGAGAATCCTTTCTTTATACTTCTTCTGGATTTCCCTGCTATAACTACCTGATCTTATATTTACCAGGGGCCAAAGGAAAACTCCTGGCATATATGTGCCTTAGTCATAGCTTAGGTTTGAAGCCAGTGAACAGAAGATCCAATGAAAAAATTTTCCATTTTATATATATAATAGATTATATCATCCTCAGAAAATAGACTCCAGACTCCATTATTTTACAGAGAAAATTTATCTAAAATTTCTGAGAGTAACAATTAAATGAACCCAGTTCCACACAAAAGATAAATATCCATTCCTTCCTACCAGAACTTCATAAATGCCTCCTCCATACTCTTAAAGTAATATTTAAATTTGAATCTTATGTACTATAATGTTAGATTTTAGATTTTAATGAATCTAACATAATTTTAAGAAAAGGAAATGATAGTATCAGAGTAATGTTTTGGGTCAAATGTAGAGGAAATAAAAAAGCAGAAAAAAAAGTAGTGTCATAGGTTCTCTAATTATTGTTTGTTGAAGGTGGAAGAGAGGTTTTATGCTGTTGTGGCAAGTGTGATAATATTTGGCAGTGCTTTGTATTTTTGGGACAAATTCATCAAGTTCTGGAAGCACAGATTATATTAAGTGTCCATGGACAGAAACCAAATTTACTTTGTGTTAAATGAATAGAGCCATAAGATTACATGATATGTTGGAACCACCGCTTATTAGAAATGAAGATTTAGAGGGGCACCTGGGCGGCTCAGTTGGTTAAATATTAGATCCTTAGTTTTGCCTCAGCTCATGATCTCAGGGTCATGAGCCATATCAGGCTCCCTGCTCAGTGGGGAGTCGGCTTGAATTTCTCTTCCTCTGCACTGCTCCCCGATGTGTGATCGTTCTCTCTCTCTCTCTCTCTCTCTCTGTCTCTCTCCTCTCTCTCTAAAATAAATCTTATTGGTTAAAATCTTAAAGAGACATGGAGATTTAGAGAACATGACCCATTCAACATTTATTGTATTAATTTAAATAATGAGAAAGATGGACTTATCTAGATGTTTATGCTAAGTCAATAATAGGGTAAAGAAATATAAGGAAAGCTACAATTATTTTTTGCCTTTAACTCACACTCAGTTTTCTTAAAATACATTGTGTTTTAAAACATTTATTATAGGGACGCCTGGGTGGCTCAGATGGTTAAATGTCTGCCTTTGGCTCAGGTCATAATCCCAGGGCTCTGGGATGGAGTCCCGCATCCAGGCTCTCTGCTCAGCAGGGAGCCCACCTCTCCCTGACAAATAAATAAATAAAAACTTAAAAAAATTGTTTAAAAAATTATTATAAATCTATTATATGGTACATAAGTGTTATTTTTTTAAATTTAACTCAAGCTTAACTGTTCTCTTGGTTACAAGCAAATAAAAGCGCCTATTGTCTGCAAGAGACTCATTTTAGACACAAAGACACCCGCAGATTGAAAGTGAGGGGGTGGAAAACCATTTACCATGCTAATGGACACCAAAAGAAAGCTGGGGTGGCAATCCTTATATCAGACAAATTAGATTTTAAAACAAAGACTGTAATAAGAGATGAGGAAGGACACTATATCCTACTTAAAGGGTCTATCCAACAAGAAAATCTAACAATTGTAAATATCTATGCCCCTAACGTGCGAGCAGCCAATTATATAAGGCAATTAATAACAAAAGCAAAGAAACACACTGACAACAATACAATAATAGTGGGGGACTTTAACACCCCCCTAACTGAAATGGACAGATCATCTAAGCAAAAGATCAACAAGGAAACAAAGACTTTAAATGAAACACTGGACCAAATGGACTTTACAGACATATTCAGAACATTCCATCCCAAAGCAACAGAATACACATTCTTCTCTAGTGCCCATGGAACATTCTCCAGAATTGATCACATCCTAGGTCACAAATCAGGTCTCAACTGTGACCAAAAGATTGGGATTATTCCCTGCATATTTTCAGACCACAATGCTTTGAAACTAGAACTCAATCACAAGAGGAAAGTCGGAAAGAACTCAAATACATGGAGGCTAAAGAGCATCCTACTAGAGAATGAATGGGTCAACCAGGAAATTAAAGAAGAATTAAAAAAAATTCATGGAAACCAATGAAAATGAAAACAACTGTTCAAAATCGTTGGGATACAGCAGAGGCAGTCCTGAGAGGAAAGTATATAGCAATACAAGCCTTTCTCAAGAAACAAGAAAGGTCTCAAATACACAACCTAACCCTACACCTAAAGGAGCTGGAGAAAGAACAGTAAAGAAAGCCTAAACCCAGCAGGAGAAGAGAAATAATAAAGATCAGAGCAGAAATCAATGAAATAGAAACTAAAAGAACAGTAGAACAGATCAACGAAACTAAGAGCGGGTTCTTTGAAAGAATTAACAAGATTGATAAACCCCTGGCCAGACTTATCAAAAAGAAAAGAGAAATGACCCAAATCCACAAAATCATGAATGAAAGAGGAGAGATTACAACCAAGAGCAAAGAAATACAAACAATTATAAGAACATATAATGAGCAACTCTATGCCAGCAAATTAGATAACCTGGAAGAAATGGGTGCATTCCTAGAGATGTATCAACTACCAAAATTGAACCAGGAAGAAATAGAAAACCTGAACAGACCTATATACACTAAGGAAATTGAAGCAGTCATCAAAAATCTCCCACAAACAAAAGCCCAGGGCCAGATGGCTTCCCAGGGGAATTCTATCAGACATTTAAAGAAGAATTAATACCTATTCTCCTGAAACTGTTCCAAAAAATAGAAATGGAAGGAAAACTTCCAAACTCATTTTATGAGGCCACCATTACCTTGATCCCAAAACCAGACAAAGACCCCATCAAAAAGGAGAATTACAGACCAATATCCTTGATGAACATGGATGCAAAAATTCTCACCAAAATCCTAGCCAATAGGATCCAACAGTACATTAAAAGGATTACTCACCATTTATCCCTGGGCTGCAAGGCTGGTTCAACATCTGCAAATCAATCAATGTGATACAATGCATTAACAAAAGAAAGAACAAGAATCATATGATCCTCTCAATAGATGCAGAAAAAGCATTT